TTGCTTTCATAGAAATAGATACGCCCAATCGTGAGAGATCTTCTATTAAAACACATTCAAAGAAAAAAAATAATGTCTTCATCCTATGGTTTTATTTTAACGTTTTAGAAATCACTTTTATTAATTCAAATCAATCACATAGAGCCGATCTTGAAAAGGTTGTTCGCATCAAAACTTTCCCAAGTCACGTGTCTTGATATTCCGTTTCTGTACATGGGACATTCCATATAAAATGTTCAACATGTCTTGTCATTTCTTCACTAAAACACATCAATGACATTCGACACTATTTTACACAAACAGAAAGTGAGCATTCATAACCACGTGGCAATCGGAAGATTGGAACGTCTTAATTCTTGGCGTGCTAGTTACGTAATCGCCGCAATATTGGATGATGTTGGAAATAACAAAGCATTCTCTTGTTCATTCATCCAACATGGCGGCGATAGCTTTGCTTTTTATTTCTGAGGGGATTCTTGGTGACATGTTGCACACTAAGAATAGGTGGACAACCTTTTCAAGATCGGATGTATCTCGCAAGGATCGGACCATTGTCTTAGTGGTAGTTGTGCTGAAATTGCATCACTGGCAAATACTTTATTGTAAAAATATAAAATAAAAATAAAAATAAAAAGACGTTCATCTTTACTATGTTGTTTGAACGCAAACACGATGAAACGCATCAAGAAATACAATTATTGTGGATTGCCATTGCTACGCTTTGTCCCTGACGGACCATAGTCACGTTACYGCTCATAGAACTAAACCAATCATCACTAATCTAGTGTTKTACTCACYAAGTAYTCTCTGTTAGTTCACCCACGGCAWAATGCRTACTTCTTCTMTTTAGTGTAGGAATCTTCAACACTGAACCTTTGAATAYATTAACAAATGATGTCAGGAATTAGTACATGCCATATYAAAACGATGCACGAATAAACTGGTGGGTTTCTTCAAAGTCCTCCTTAAGGGGCAGGCATTGTACTAAGATTGGAAATACCTAGAAAGATAAAGTCGAACCTCTATWAATCGGCCGCCATCTATATACCGGACACCCTTTTATTAAGCGGTCGCTTATTACTTTCCC